GCAGGCGGAGCTGCTGGAGCGCCTCCCCCCTCGCCTGACCCCAGGGTGCTGGCCGCCACCTACGACATGCTGGGCCAGCGCCACATCGATTTCAGAGAGGGGGTGCTGCGCCTCGTGGAGTATCCCTGGCCAGACTGGAGGTAATCGGGTCCGCGGACATGCCTCTGGGTGCGCCGCTTCATTTGCGAGCACGGCGGCACACCTCTTGGACGGCACACCCTGTTCAAAACCACCTTCAGGTTGACGGGCGCGGACCCAGGGGCGGTGGAGCACGAGGAGTGCTGCCGCATCCTGCACGAGGGAGTTTGCTACGACCAGCTTAGCGTGGCTTCGCTCGTCTCTTTCGAGGCGGTGTGTCGCTCGTTGCAGGTGCAGGAGGAGAGGTGCAGGCACGTGCTCAATGACGACCAGGACGATGAGGCCTATGACAGGCACCTCTTCCTCGGGAACCAGCTCTCGAGGGGGAATCTGCGCGTGTGCCCGCTGTTGCAGGCGCATGTTGCTGCTGAGCTCTCGCGGGAGGCCGCGTTGGCGAAGGAGCGACGCGAAGCTCGTGAGGAGAGAGCCCTCCCCGAGCCCTCAGCCAAGAGACCAGGCAAGAAGGGCCAGCGAGGGCAGGGGGCAGAGGCTTGAGCGCCCCGCGGCGCAGGTGTGGGCAGCCTGCGTCGCGCGTGCCCTTCACGCCCGTGGTGCCGCGTCTTCTGTCGGTCATGGGGGAGGCTCGCCAGCGCGACCTGTTCCCCTTGCCCGCGTTGGAGACGCTGAACCAGCCGTTTTGCGATCGACCTGCTTCTCGTAGCGTGGTCCGCCGCCGCCTTCGCGCCGCTCATGCTGACAAGTGGGCGGCCGAGGGTGTCGACGTGTTGAATGACTTGCATGGCAGTTTTGGCTCCCGCTCCGACATCAGCCCCAACGCGGGTCAGCGCTTGGCCCTGGAGCATCTTCGTCATCGCTATCGGCGCGTGGGACCTCCTCCAGCAGATCTCAGTTCAGGACAGGGGGCCGTCTGCGCGGTCCTGTCTGGCGCGCCCGGCTACACTAGTGGTGGCGGGCCCGTCGCTCCCTTTGACGGCGACAAGATCGCCTGGCCGTCCCTCTCCAGCAAGCCGGTGTACTTGACTGACCTGCTCGGGGACTCGGACGCCTCGTGTCTCAGGGATTGGAAGGAGCACATGCTACGGCCCTCCCAGGCCGCTCGGAGCCTCCGCGCTGAGGCGTGTCCGCGGGGCGCATGCGTCGACCCGCTATTGAAGCACAATGTTGGTGACTATGCTACCTTTCTCAGAGAGGCTTGGCGTCGGGGAATGCTCACTTGGAAGCATGGGCATGGCGGCGACCTCGGACTGTTTTTCGTGCGACGCAAGGACGAGCGCCTCAGGATCATCTTCGACACACGGGTCATCAATTGCGACTTCCTGCCCGCGCCTTCCACTCGTCTTCCAACGCCTTCGGCGTTCGGAGCGCTGGAGGCCGACCAGCACGTCTACGTTTCCTCTGGTGACCTGGAGGCCGCCTTCTACCATATGCTGGTGCCGCCCGACATGGTACAGCACTTCTCTCTGCCCAGCCTGGACGCGGGGTTCTTGCTGAGCTGCGGGGTGACCGGCCTGCCAGTGGGGCCGGGGGAACCCATTACTCCGTGCCTCCGCGTGCTGCCCATGGGTTTCTCTTGGGCGCTTCACCTCTGCCAGGGTGTTCTTCGGCGTGGCCTGAGCCTAGGTGGTTTCGAGCCCAGCTGCCTCGTGGAGGACGGCCAGCCTGGCCGACAGGTGAAGCGTGGCGGCCCATCGGCAGCGGCGGGCTACGTCGACAACTACTTCGTGATTGACACGTGCGCGGAGGTGGCCAACCGCAGGGCACAGGCGGTCAAGGAGCAGCTGGTGCAGCTCGGCCTGGTGGTCCACGACCAGGAGTCCGCCTCCCGCGACGCGGAGTTTCTGGGGCTGAGCTTGACCGAGGGCCGCTTCCTGGCTACTCGCCTCAAGTGCCTGTGGCGGCTGCGGCTCGCCATTGAGAAGCTGCTTCGCATTGGAAGGTGCAGTGGGAGTCTCATGAAGGTGCTCCTCGGCCACGTCACCTGGGCCGCGCTTTCGAGACGTGAGTCGCTGTGTCTGGTGCAGGCCGCCTACGCATTCGCTGCCAAGGCGGGGGGCGATCCCATCATGCTGCGGCAGAGCGTGAGGCGCGAGCTCTGGCAGATCCGCTGCCTCCTTCCGCTGCTGCAGACGGACCTCATGTCGCCCTGGCACTCACAGGTCGTCGCTTCTGACGCCTCGGAGTTTGGCCTGGGGCTTGTGCGGCGCAGAGTGGCGCCGGCTGTTGTTGCGCAGATCGGGCAGCAGTCCGAAAGATGGAGCTCGAGCGCGTGAGAGAGCGCTTGGCCCCGTCATCTTCTCATCATCGTCTCTTCCGTCCGCTCCGCAGCCTCTGGAGTTCCTCAACGAGCCCGAGTCCGTTCCGCAGCCTCTGGAGTTCCTCCACGTGCCCGAGTCCAGCTTCGATGAGGTCCCCAGGGATGTCTTGGAGGTGTCGTCTTGGGCAGGAGTTGCGGCCGTGAAGATCTCAGAGGATGTGAATATCCTGGGCCTCGAAGGTGAAGCTCTCGCACTCGGGATTCGGCATCTTCTGCGCAGCTCGGAGGCCTTTGGGAAGCGTCTGTTGGCTCTGGTAGACAACCTGCCTTTGGCCCTAGCGGCCGCGAAGGCTCGTGCCCGTTCTGCGTACCTTAGAGGTCCTCTTCGTAAGCTTGCAGCTCTCAGTCTGGCCTCGGGCTCTCGAGTATATGTGAGGTGGATTCCGTCAGAGCTCAACCCGTCCGATCCGTGCTCTCGTGGGCTCCGAGGATGGTTCTCTGGCGGCCGTTTGCCGAAGGATCGCACCCTTCACGTCGCGGCCGAGACGGGCGCTGCTCCCGTGGATGCCGCGCCGTGCTGGCCGCCGCCCCGAGGGGGGCCCGCAAGCGGGTGCGCGCGCCAGCCTTGCGCGGGTCCTCCTGGCGAGCTGCTGGCCGATAGCGGGACTGACGGGCCTGGGGCGGCTTGCGGTCGAGGAGTCGACCGAGACCCTGTACCGCGGCCTGCGCAACAGGTTCACGGACTACTGCCGTTCCCACCAGGTCTCATGGCCCCCGATTCTGGAGCTGGACCTCGCCGGGCTGAGGTACCTCAACGACCGGCTGCTGGCGGGCGCCATCGCCGCGGAGGGGAGACAGCTGCTGGCCGCGCTGTCGCACTTCATGCCCGAGGGGAGGCGCGCCGGCAAGGCGGGCTCGGCTCAGAGCTGAAGAGCTGCCACGGCCTGGAGGCGCCGCGTGCCCAGTTCCACGCGCTGCCCGCTGCCGAGGGCTGCGACTTTCGCCATCGCGGGGATCGCTCTCGCTCTAGGGCGCGGGCGAAAGGCGCTCTGGATTGTGATATCTACGGCCAGATACGCCAAGGAGTCGAAGCTCTTGCGAGAGATCAGCCTCGCCCCGCTGGCCAGCTTCGAGTTCGGGGAGATCGTGGAGCAGCGCTTCCAGCGACTGGTGGAGAGTGGCTTCCTGCTCTCGGGCGTGATCGACAGCGTGCCCGACCTGCTCGGGCTGCTCGTCATGAGGCTGGCCGTGGGCGGCTCCGCTGGGCTGCCGAGCTTCGACACCCTGAGCTGAGTGGTGGTCCGCAAGCGGCCCGCTGGCGTGGCGATCAGCCGCAAGCAGGTGGGCCGCCGCCACTCTGCCGCCCCTCTGCTGGCATAGCGCGTCGGCTGCGCCGTGAGTTCAGGCATGCACTGCAAGTTGCCCGCCAGCGCAAGCGCTGCGTTTTCTTAGACCTGCTTGCCGGCTCGCAAGGAGCCGGCCACCAGCTGAGACAGGCTGGATACGCTGCTGTTTCGCTCGACATCCAGATGGGTGTGCATGGCAATCTTCTGGTTCGCACAGTCGAGAAAATGCTGAGGGGCTGGATCGCGTCGGGGGCTGTGCTGGGAGTGTGGCTTGCCACTCCCTGCACTACCTGGTCGCAGGCTTTAAGGCAACCGCTCCGTTCTTCATCTACTCCCATGGGCCGTGCTGATCTTTCTCAGTCTCAGCGTGCGCGTATTGAGGTAGGTAACAGAACCTTTCATGTCACCTGCCGTCTTGTTGACGCCTGTCGCAGGGTTGGGGTGTCTGTTTTCGTTGAATTTCCCGACAGGTCGCTTATGTGGGAGGCCCCCCGCATGATTGCGCTGAGACGCTCTCGCGACTGTGTCGAAGCCCGTCTTGATCAATGCCAGTTTAAGGCCCCGTGGAAGAAGGCCACGCGAATCGTTGCGTGGGGGAGCGGCTTCCTGTCTCTTCTCTGTCTTCGTTGTAAAGTCAGTGGCCGAATCTGCAGTGAATCAGGAGTGCCGCATCAGGAGTTGGCAGGGCGTGCTCCTGGTGGTAGACACTGGACTTCAATCGCCGCCGCGTATCCGAAGCCTCTCTGCCGTGCAATTGCTCGCTCCATGATTGACGTTGCCGAATCTTTACGAACTTCTCTGTTGTGGAGCAGGTTTAAACCTTGAGGTTCCTTGTTTCATTGCTTGAGTTTGTTTTCGGCCTGCCGGCCAGGTTTACCATTCGGGTTTGGGAATCTCCGAGCGCGTTTGGTGGCCTACGCCTTCGCCCTACCGATCGAAGGTTATCGCCTTGGCTCCAGACACGATAAAACAGTGTACTGGCAATCTTGGGAGTCTGCGGTCTAAATCTCTGTTCATCGGACCAGCCTCGGCGAACAGGCTGGAGCAAACGTCCTGAGCTCGCGCGAACAAGCTCAGAAGGCGGCTCACAATGCGCCTCATATCAGAGGTCTCCGTTTCTGCGGGGAACAACACATTTTGTGCCAAAACACATGCGATGGAGGAGGAGGGGGAGGAGGAGCAGGAGGAGGAGGAGGAGGAGGGAGTGGAGCGGATGAGGAGGTTCGGAACGCTCGCCTGTCCGACCTGACCTCTATACAGCCGGATGGGGAACTATCTTTCTCGCCCCGTGTGGGCGGCAGGATGTCGAGACCCCGTCGGAGCTGCTGGGCACCAAAGACTTCTTGGCGCGAGGGACATTTCAACGTGTAGTGTGATCAATACTTGCGAGTGTGGTGTTGACGATGATGAGGAGGACGGTCATCATGTTGGTTTTGTTGGCGAGCTTGATGATGCAGTCAATGATGAGGTTGATGTTGATGCTGCTAATGATGCTGCTGCTGATGATGATGATGATGATGAGGATGAGGATGAGGATGAGGATGATTATGATGGGGATGAAGATGATCACGGCCAAGAAGACATGGTTGTAATGACGATAGCATGTGGCGACTTGGAATTGTGAGCATGTTGATGATACCCAGATGACGACAACTACGTCAAATCGAAACGACGCGAATGACGATTCCGACGATGGTAATGTTGAGTTTCCTCTCCGATCTCTGCCTCCGAAGCCTGGGCGCGGCTGGGCCTGGCTGGGCCCACGTCCTTCTTCCTCCTCACGCGTCCTCGCGTTCCTCGGACTCTTTTCCTCACGGCCTGGGGCGCCCTCCCGCTGGAGGGTGCGAGCTCCGCGGCGTGTCTCGCCGCCGAACCCCCTTCTGTGCTCCCTACGCCGTGCGTGTCCCGAGCCACAGGGCCCACCTCAAGGGCTCCTGCCCGGACTGGAGGGTGGTTCTGGCCCCCACTACCCAGCACTCTTGGTACCTCCTCCCCGCGTCTTTCGGCTGCCGCACTGCCAGCCGTCGAGGCTCCCCCTGCGCCTCGGCGCCGGACCCCTCGGCCGCGGCTGCCCTGCGCGCTGAGCCTCAGGCCAGCGCGGCCGCCTCATGCGCTCCTACACCATGGTCAGGTCCGCGGCCGCCATGCTGCTGGCTACGCCCTGCGCCACTGCCCTCGCCCCGCACAGATAGCCCTGGAAGGCGTCGCTGTTCCACCGCCCCCGGCGCTGCACCAGCGCCGTGTCCTCGAAGGCCGCGTGGAGCGCTGATGCCCCGCCAATTCTCAAGCTGTGGGAGCCCAGGTCATTTGGGCCGACCCCCTCCGTCACGGCTGACTGCATCACCACGCGTGACGAGCCGCCTGTCGTCGTAGGCGAAGAGCGGGTCGTACGACCGCGCTCCGGAGAACCTCTCGCGTGCCCACCCCTCGTAGATCGTCAGCGCCTCCACCACGCAAATGTGTTCATCGTCCGCCGTGCCTGATGCTGCTTCGACCCTGAAATGGTTGCGCCATTCTCCTCGATTGTACTGGTCCGTTCGCCCCAGGCCAGCTCCTCGTCGGCTCACCCGCTGCCTTCGGTGTGACGTCCACGCCCCTTAGGCCCTTGCCACCGGTGTAGCCGTTCTGGTCGCCCGACGCGGCTGCGCGAGGCCCGCGGCCTCGAGTTCTGTGAGGCGCTTGAAGAGTTGCGCGCGGGATGGCAGAAGGTCTCCCGGATCGAAGGACTCAGCTGATCAAACTTGGCGGCTCGTTTTTCGGCCTTCGGGGTGTCTCTGCATCGCCCTGGCTGGGCGACGCCCAATGTCTGCGCTCTCGTCGCTGATCCCTGGCGCGATATTCGTCTCGCGATTGATTCCACCTGGGTGGTCATGCTTTTTGTGTACGAATTGAGGCGTTGCTCAGAATTCTGTGCTCTTCCCAGGTCCCCATGCAGGACGCGCGAGTTATCCGGGCGAGCATGTGCGACGGCTTCCGGGCAGGAGTTGGCGCCGTTGCTGCAGGTACCTCTCTGTCTCGCCTGCGCGTCTTTTCTGTGGGGCCGAACGCGACGCGCCGTATCACGGGTTCTGGACATGTCGGCGTGTCCATATCATGGAAGTTGGGAGGCGGAAGGTATTTGTCGGTTTTCCCAGAGCAGCGGCTGACCAAGAGAGAACGTTTCGATCAACTTAGCATTATGCCTCGGCACGTTTCAACGCCCTGGCGACGCGCTGCAAGATCCGGCGTCACGTGGACGAGCTCCCGACACCTCGCCCTGGTTCGACTCTTCTCCCTCCGCCCGACGGCCCGTGGGGCGCCGTTTCCCAGGGTGGGTCGTGCCGAAGACGCTGGGTCCGAGAACTTCCCCGTAGTTTCTGGGGCCTGGCGGTGGCGGCCTTGGACGGGGCTCTCGGAGAAATGCCTTGTCCTTTGCTGGGCCCCCTGCCCCCGAGCGGCCCAAGGGGCCGACTGCGGTGTTTTTTTACGGGCGCAGCCCGTAATTTGATTTTCGCGAGGTAGACAGACTGAACTGAACCACCAGGCCGTTAGATGGCAGTTTTATTTCCGCGGGTGAGGATATGTCGGTAGCAGTTTTAAGCCAGCGGGTAAGGGTATTTCGGTGGCAGTTCTAAGCCCGCGTATGAGGATATGTCGGTGGCAGTTTTAAGCCAGCGGGTGAGGATATTTCGGTGGCAGTTTTCTATCAGCGGGTGAGGATATTTCGGTGGCAGTTTTGAGCCAGCAGTTGAGGATATTTCGGTGTTTCAGCGGGTGAGGATATTTCGGTGGCAGTTTATTTCCGCGGGTGAGGATATTCCGGTAGCAGTTTAAGCCAGCCGGTGAGGATATTTCGGTGTTTCGGTGGCAGTTTTATGCCAGCGGGTGAGGAAATTTCGGTGGCAGATTTATTTCCGCGGGTGAGGGTATTTTGGCGGCAGTTTTAAGCCGGCAGATGAGCATATTTCGGTCGCAGTTTTATTCCCGCGGGTGAGGATATTTCGGTGGCAGTTCTAAGCCAGCGGGTGAGGATATTTCGGCGGCAGTTTTAAGCCAGCGGGTGAGGATATTTTGGTGGCAGTCTCAAGCCAGCGGGTGACGATATTTCTGTGGCAGTTTTATTTCCGCGGGTGAGGATAATTCGGTGGCAGTTTTAAGCCAGCAGGTGAGGATATTTCGGTGGCAGTTTCATTTCCGCGGGTGAGGATAATCCGGAGGCAGTTTTAAGCCAGCGGGTGAGGATATTTCGGTGGCAGTTTTAAGCCAGCGGGTGAGGATATTTCGGTGGCAGTTTTCTATCAGCGGGTGAGGAGATTTCGGTGGCAGTTTTAAGCCAGTGGATGAGGATATTTCGGTGACAGTTTTAAGCCAGCGGGTGAGGATATTGCGGTGGCAGTTTTAAGCCAGCGGGTGACCATCATCCGCTCGATAACACCTCGATAACACCCGATAACACGTCGATAACATGTTTTCGAGATGTGTTCGAGATGTTATCGAGGTGCTATCGAGTGTGATCGAGCTCGATAACGCTCGAGAGCACCTCGATAACACTCGATGACACCTCGATAGCATGAGGTGTTATCGATGTGTTATCGAGTGTTATCGATCGGTGGCAGTTTTAAGCCAGCAGGTGAGGATATTTCGGTGGCAGTTGTATTTCAGCGGGTGAGGATATTTTGGTGGCAGTTTCAAGCCAGCGGGTGAGGACATTTCGCTGGCAGTTTAACCCAGCGGGTGAGGATATTTCGGTGGCGGCTTTAAGAAAGCGGGTGAGGATATTTCGGTGGCAGTTTTATTTCCGCGGGTGAGGATATTTCGGTGGCAGTTCTAAGCCAGCAGGTGAGGAAATTGCGGTCTCAGTTTTAAGCTGGTGGGTGAGGATATTTCGGTGGCAGTTTTAAGCTGGCGGTTGAGGATATTTCGGTGGCAGTTTTAAGCCAGCGGGTGAGGAAATTTCGGTGGCAGTTTCACTTCAGGGGGTGAGGATATTTCGGTGACAGTTTTAAGCCAGCGGGTGAGGATATTCCTGTGGCTGCTTTGATCCAGCGGGTGAGGATATTTCGGTGCCAGTTTTAAGCCCGCGGGTTCAGGATATTTCGGTGGTAGTTTTAAGCCAGCGGGTGAGGATATTTCGATGGCAGTTTTAAGCCCGCGGAGGAGGAGGAGAAGGAGGAGGGAGGAACCGAGAATATCTGTGCTCGGCGCGGGCATCCAGCAGCCACGCGATGCGTCATTCGCTTGGTTGGCCCAGCCGACGGCTACGCATCCAGCGCGGTGCTGCGCCCGTATATATGCTCGCCCCTTTGCGTGGGGCTGGCGGGGGGCCAAGGGGCGAGCTGTCTGGTGATTTCTGGGATGGTCGTCGCGCGTCTTTCAGCGCTGACGTTGATATAGATTGCGGGAATGTGCGCGTGCATGGGCAGCTCCCGCGCATTGAAGCTTGTTCGTTCCAGAACCAGCATGCTGGGGCGATCATGCAGGCCCGCCACTGTTCCGGTCCTGATCTCTGCTCGTGTGCTACAGTCAACTCGCATGTTCAGAACGACTGAATTGGTGTTATACACTGATGGTTTTATCAGGCTCGGTAACTTGCACGCGGATCACGTGGCGAAGCGTGCCCTCGACCCGCGTCCATCCGCGGGTCTGACCGTTGTAGCAGTAGCAGAGTTCGGTCGCAATGACGGGTCTGTAAAGCATGTCTACAAGTTGGGTGCTGCCACTCTTTTCGAGGGGTCACGCGTTGAATCCAGAGGCACTGGCCGTGCTATTCGCCCACCCCCTGCTCCGAAGCTGGAGCTGCGCCACTCGTGGATGCGCTCGAGTGGCCTCTGGAGGTGAGAAGTCTGTCGGAAAGGTTCTACTGCTGGTGAGTTCGCTTCCCCTCCCCAGTCGGCGTGCCCCAGCCGTCCGAAACTGGGGCAGAATTCACACCTCTCATGAGGCGTCTGCATTTTTTTGTCCTGGCGCCTCGCAGGCAAACTGGGTATGGCGGTGGACGTTTAAAAACGATGGTGCTGATGATGCTGGCGATGATAATGATGATGCGGGTGATGATGAGTATGCTGATGATGATGACGGTGATGATGGTGACCGTGATGATGATGGTTCTACGGGTGGTGGTTTTGTGTGCTGATGGTTTGGGTGGTTGTGGTGGTGGTGGTTTGGGTGATGGTTATTACGATGTTGCTGATAAAGATGTACATGGTGTTGGTGATGTTGATGGCGGTGGTGGTGGTCATGATGATGAGGGTGGTGATCATGATGACGGTGGTGATGATGATGCAGCTGTTGATGACGCTAATGCTGCCCATGTTGATGCTGATGTTACTTTTGTCGATCATGATCGCGATATGTAGGGCGACGGAGACGACGATCACGAGGGCGACGACGATCGTGGACGAGGACGTGGACGACGACGCCTCGCCCAACCGCGGGCTCTTCCAGCAAGGCCACAGTGCTGCACAGGGACGGCAGACCGCAGGACGCGGACAAAAGCGATTTCGAGGGCTTCGCCAGCAGTTTCGGCCTGGACCGCCAGCACCAG